TGATTGGCCAGACGGTATTGGGGCTGACAGACACTAGTGCGTACGTGTTAAACGTATCGAGAAGCGAGAGGCTGAGCAGATTTGGGTCACCACATATACCTCCAGGAAATTTGGCACCCAGGCGACTGCACTGAACTCAACTGAAAGTATGCAGGAACTCTCGACAACCTGCACGCCAACGTAGACTACGTGCCAAACCTGGAGGAAGGAACCACCGCAAGATATGGCGTGACTCTCTGTGTTCATATGTGTGTATACTCGAACGCGACCGAGTTCAAGTCAACCTTACACCAGTTTTCGCTGCATGCGTAAACAAAATAGAGTCCAACTACGAATGGGGTCATTAGGTCACACGCGTAAACTCGTCAACCTCGAACAAAACATAAACCATTGCTATGCATCAACCATCTGAAAGACGAAACATCGCAGTTGAGAGCGTATGCACATCTCAGTTATGTGAGAAAGGCATTTTCGTAAGGAGGCCAGCCAGGAGAAGTGAACGAGCAGAGTCGACAATACGGAGAAAGTGGCGCCCGGTGCCCTTTGCGCTCATCCGGATAATAAACTGCAATATTTGTATCGGATTATTTCATAGCTATTTAAAACTCAAAGGACAGGGATCTAGGTTAGAAAATCCTGATGTTGATCTCGGTCCAGTTATAAGATAGGTCGCCAAACGCTGAAATAACTCACGCGCAAATCACCATCCCTGCGTCCATCATGCTGTGGCGCACAGCTTAGAAACGGCGGTTGAAACGTCATGCCCAACTCATCCAGCGCCCTCCTAAGAACATCTACGAATGCGGACACGACGGTACTCTCAGACAAATCAGTTCAAGCTTCAACCCCTCTGTTGTATTCTGCTGCCCTGTGAAGCGTCAACACTCTGTAATGGGGGGCAATGGCCTTCTTTCGATCTCTTTCTATGGACAAATTCGCAATTTATTTAAATGGCTGAGGGGGTCCTCTTTCTCTTCCTCTCTCTCATTCTCTCTCGGACATTCTGTAAAGTGGGAACTCTCCATGTAAAATACACCGTCACGCTTTCGGACTTGCGAATGAAATTTAACTGTCCTACTGCCGACTCCACTAAACGCATAGTCGTATCGCCCGATCCAAGTCTTCGTTTCTGTCACTGGATGTGATTATCGGCATAGCCTGTGTCCATTGGTTAGCATCAGTTCAGATGGTGTTATTTCACTTAACGCCAGACCAAACCTGTAAACGTTTGGCGAATAGGTTAGACAAATGGCCGATCTGCCGGATATCTATTATTCCATATTTGTTCACGCCCTATCTAATGGTCGAAGAAAATTCTCGATCGGCTATGGGAGCCTTGGATGGGGTGATAAAAAGGCTAGCACAAGCTATGGCTTACCAGCTGCCCCGACTGTGATCGTATATCCCCTAAGATGTTGGCCTCTCGAACACCACCTAATTTACCTCACCACAGACACAATAGGGATGCAGAGAAAACAGACATATGTGCCAAGCCGTGCTCGCTCCTCCCGTCAGATTCACTGGCCAGCTATCGATGAGCGGCCCCCGGACCTGCCCATAAACTTTAGGTACTGAAAGGGCCTATTCAGTAGCGTGGTTATGCAAGACAATGATCAATAAGCAATCAATTATCATTTATGCAGCAAACACCGTACCGAAATTGACCATCATCAGTCACGCTGGAGAGGGCGGCTTTTGGTACTGATCAATGAACAGTGTGAAAATCCAATGAATATGACCTTCTATAACTTTGCAAGTTATCTCGTGCTGAAGTGACACCTAGTTGCTCCATCTGATTGAAGGGTGAAGGCCGATAGTTACACATGATCCTGAGGGTCAGATCTTTACGAGAGGCAACATAAAGAGTTAAACCGTCGTTTCCGGTGATTCGCACCTTGTCCCTCCACAGCGTAGTTGACAGTGATTTGCGCGTGCCTCTGTTTATAGGGACAGCAGACTTGCGCAGCATCTGCTGCACCATCTCCTCCGCCCACACTCCTGGGCTGGGTATTACTGTAGTGGTCGCTGCTGCCCAACGCCCACCTAACTCTTGACGTCACAGACAA